TGCCCCATTCTGACGAATTCGTGCGTGCAAATCGACAGTAACGGTTGAAGACATAATAAAAATGGTTTTTAAAAATTTATTTGAAAAAATCAATTAAATGTGCTATGCTAATGTAATAAATAACAATATGTTGTTTTTCTCTTTGATCTTTCTATAATAATCAATAATATGAACTTGTGTTGTGTATTGACGCTTTCAGCATTGACTTACTTTCTTATTCTAAAACACTGTGTAGAGAACTGGGTTTATCATTTAATTTGTATTCTTGTACGGGTTTGTTATGATTCTCGTTACATGCGATCAATTCTTATCGTAAGATTTTTTGTGGACCGGGCCCCTGCTTGAAAAGAGAAAAAAATAACTAAGACAAGAATAGTAATGAAAAAGGCACCAGGCAATTTGACTTAATTACACATAATAACAACGAGTAACCATCGTTTAATGTCCGCTATAACCATGTTATATTCACAATAATTGGTAGGTTGGTAGGGGTTCAGAGCCATGTAGAATCGATTTGTGTACTATATCTCGTGTAGTAAAGGCATATAGTCGCTTAAATATAGGACTAAATTTGCCAGTGTCACTTTGTCATAGTAATATGAAAATATTATGCTGTGTAGGACATAATAAAAAACCAGAGTCAATTGTATATGACCATTTAGAATTGAAAATCGATTGTCTCCACCTTTTATTAATGATTTGATGATCACTCTTTAATAGAGAAATAAATATTATCAACACTTGATGTATGAAAATTACTATGGATAAAAGAAAAGTGGTTTGAAACCTGTCAGCTACCTAATGGAATGATTAGGAGATAACATACCTTTAATGTGAATAATAATTGATGAAATGATAATTATTGGTGACAGCTGATTGTTTATAGAAAAACCAACTGAAGGGTTTAATATTATTAAAAGCTCGAATAATAATTATTATACCAATCAACAAACAATCAATCAATAAGCCCCCTGTACTCATACCAAGTCCAGTTCTATTTACAATAGCCCAGCTTTTAGCACTTCAGATCGGATTGTGTTGGATATTCGAATCCCTTGTAGAATCTCAACATTTGCATACCATATGTTCTTTTCGCAAATATTCCAGGATCGCTCTGGGTTACTCTGCAAATATATAATTGAGGATTGCATATGACCATTATTCAAAAAAGGTCCACAGAAATCTATTGTAAAAAATCTATATAACATAAAGGCACCTATATTTTTGAATAAAACTAACTTGATGCTTGCCATAAAGACATCGCGTCTTGAAACATTTAACGACAATCTAAGATCTTCAGTGAGATTTAGAAACAATTTAATATTCATACACAAATCAACTGACTAAATGTGATTAACTTAACAAATCAGATGTGGTGTTGTGTTGCAACCTAAAGAATACTTCCTCTTCCTTGTATGCTGATATATAATGGAGATTGTAGTGCACTGGACTGTATGATTATGTAAAACAAATTCTAAACATGGAAACTGTCAAATATGAGAACAAAGTTATCAAAAGTCCGTAATTTGCTCATTGATACTTAATTTTATTGATAATGATAAAGTGATAATTGATAGTGGAAATCCGATTTTGTGAGAATTTTTAAGAAAAGGAAGTAACAGTATGCGTGGAATTCTGCTCAAGAGGTAGAAAAAGTTCAAAATCAAAGACTGTAATGATCAGCGTATTTCAATTCCAAACATTTTAAATCACATTCTGCCATATACACCCTATAACATTTAATCTATTAAGTCATTGAATATCCCAGAATTCCTATTTGATCGTGTTTACAAATACTATTATTCAAACGTATTACAACTGTTTACTTTGTGGTTGTTCATCTGCGCTAAACATCTGCCCAAATTAGCCCTCTTTTACTTGAAAAGCTCTTGAGATCATTTCCATATCCTTGTAAAGACTGTGTCAATATTGAAATACTGAAATTAATGTTGATAGGACTGAGTTCAAGTCAATTCCCCCGATTGTAATAGTTAGACCAGGCAATCAATACAGCTTCAACCAATCACATCCAGATTTTATGGAAATCTTGGTCCGCTAAGATTATTGTATGCTTCACCTTCCTTAAACCTGATTCTGTTGACCATTGGTCTTAAAACGGATGTTTGAAAGGGACAGATAAAATGTGCTCGTTTGAAGGTATTCTTGCAATCAATCTTGCGTATAGGTTTGAAAATGCAAACTCAAACCCTCATGCCACTGGTTCGTTACCTGCCTTGAGGTCTCGTTTTATGCTACAAAAAAGCAGAACACTTTTTATAGAAATAGATTTGATAAATTTCAGGCGAATGCTTAAAAAGGTTGTCGTATTCAGTATAGTATAAGCTTGCTACAAGGAATAGGTACCTGGAACTACTTTCTAAATAAGCCGAGCACGCTTGAACTAATATGGGTCATTCAAAACATTACAGATTGTATTCGTATTTAGTAACCATTACCGAAACAGACACTTACAATCGTGTTTAAACTAATAGACTTGTATAAAGATTCGCAAAATTTGACCTCGAGATGTTATTTGTGTTTTGAAATCAGATTTGTATTCATTATAACGGTTTTTAGTAGAAAAACAGTAATAAGATGCTTATCTGTTATTTGCCATATTTACAATGTGTTAATAACATAAAAATGAAGGTAATAAATTCTCAACACACCAACAGTTCGAGACTAAACGAAATACATAATTTATATGGTCATCACTTCAGAAGCATTAACTACATTTCTTATTTGTTTACACATTTCGTGTAAATAGGAAAACCTAGATGGCTAATCACTTAATGGAAATAGTTCTCCTCTTTTACCATGAAAACATCACGTCCATCCAATAGTCTTTCTCTTTGATTAGAACTACTCCATTTAACACAAAACATCGTTCACGTGTACTCCAAAATTTCCTTCAAATTCCTTCATGAATTGCTATCAATAAGTATATTGCAGATCATAAATTTGTCGAACCCTAAACTAACTGTATTGTTTTGAGCTATTGTGCGATACAGAACCACCCACAGAAAATTACAATATGTTTTAATTATGATGTTGCCTTAATGTTAACTTTCGGGAATTTGACTTCGTCAGCTTAGACCCTCACACAGCATAACAAGTTATTGATAACAGTTTCTCTCTGAGTAATTACAATTTTTTGTGACCTACATCTGCTTAAACTAAAATCAATACCTCATCTGAATCACTTTAGTTTTTTGTCCATATCTATTTTAGTTTATGTTGTTGAGAGGAATGGTTTTAATTTTAATATCATAGCTACATATTCAGTAGTTTGTCATTTTAAATGCGAGTACATATATTATGATCTTATTTGTAGACCGTGGATTAATGATGTGTGGAAAGGCTTAATCATTCCTCTAGTTTTTCTGTCATCTAAAAAAAAATCCATTTCATTCAGGATATTACATATTCATAATATGACCACAGATTAGGTGATAGGTTCCCTTCAATATAGTGGACATCATTTTCAGAGGTGCCCGAGTGCTAAATCCAGTGTTAAATCAATAGATAGTTCTTATATGTCAATAATAATAGTATCTATTGGAACAGCATCGTTTGACATTTAACCTTAATTTATCTTTTAAAAATATGTTTTAAAAAAAATCATCATTTCATGGTAGTTTCTCTGGGGCGCTAAACAATAGTCATAACACTTCTCCCACTTCATAGGAACATTAACATCCAGCAAGATCCTGTCAGATCATATTAACTATAACATAAATGTATGATACATAGGAACTTATCTGGCCATAATTTTAGCTGATGATATTAATTGATGTTTTGAAGAGAAATGATAAGGCCATCTGTTTCAATAAGTAATAGTTATCTTTAGTAATAAATCTATCAAGATAAACTTGATGGTGCCAACCCCTGCTGTAAAGCTACAGGCATGGTAACCAGTATATTCGTACCACATCAATATCATCTACTAGGGAATTCTCAAATAGTAATATTTAATACACAAAGCACGAAATGTCATCAGCAATTAATGAAACGTAAGGTGATGCGTTGAAATGATTTCACCATCTGAATAAGGGTTTGCAATCCACGCACTCTTTACGAATTAAGTTATCTTAGCCATGGAATTACTAATAATTGCTCTAGTAATATGCAATATAAAAGAAGGCGAGCATTATAGACCACGAATTCACTTAAAAAGGCAATTTACTCTAAATGTATGCTATTGTTTTTAATATATTACCTATTAAACATACACATGATGGTTTAGTTTATATAGGTTCCCCTCATCCTATAATAAGGTTTCACAATTTACCAAGTCACCTTTTAATGGACATCGTCTAGAATATAAGTATATGAAATCATTATATGTATAATGGTATCTGTATATGTAATTAATTGTATAGAATATAATATACCATATGTTTGTAGAATGATAAACAATCAGTATGGTCGAAACATCGTTAGTTTTCATCTAATTTGTATATTTATTTTATAAACATACCGACTTTGAAAGATATTTTGGATAACATCTAAAAACAACAACAGAAATCAACTCTGCAGTAATAAGATTCCAGAGCGTCATCTTCATATAGCTCAATCTTCACACTACATATCCCCACTGAGTCTGATAGATGTTTTGTTTGATTTCTATATATCTTGGCCTTGTGGGTTATGAAAGTACCGGGAATACGATGAAGAGTATAATATGGCACTGGTTTTCGTCTCACCTATTCTCTGGTCGCATAATTCTTCTATCATTCCGGTAGCCTAATTGTGAACAGAATTATTAATGATTTCCGTATAAAGAAAAAAAAACATAAAACAATAGTCATCAAAAATATTTAATATTAATCATTAAATTATATAATACAAATCAAAAAGAAAAATTAAATGTAAGATAATGGGTTTTGTAAATGCCATTTTAAGAGAGGGAAAACACGTATGTTCTCATCACCATCTAACACGAATGTACCATCAGATCCAGGGAAGTACAATTTAGAATCTACTTTTGACATCATAAATCAAACAATAATATAGTTTTCGTGCGGTATGATATGCGAGTTTTTGGGTAAAACATATAATAGCTTATCCCAGAATATGGTATCATTAAATTCAAGATATGTATGAGTTTTAAAATAAGCTTTCAAATCGTCGTTTAACTTATCAACATCTATCTTATCTTTTAAAATTATCACAATTTTTATATCTTTTTCCTTTAACATATGTTCATAAGCACAATGAAAATTATAAAGACACCATTCATTTTGTAGAAAATTGTCGGAAAATATAAATAAAGTACAATAACTATTAGAGATAGCATCGTTAACATTTTCATTTTCATCTAAACCGGGTAGAAAATCTCTATCTTTAATAACCGTTTTATAACCAGGTTTTTCAATATCTTCTAGTCGTTTTAATAAAACATACTTCATCCAAGTTATATCTTCATCATCATAAACAATAAATACATCATTTTCTTTCAGCTTTTCGCTGACAATAGGTGGAGCGAAATACTGAATACGAAGCCGAGTATATAATAATACCTTAGCGTTATATCTACATTTAATAATGAGAAATACAAAAAAGATAATTATTAATAATAATATTGTTATCAAATAATACAGATACGTTTTCAGCTGGACGTTACACTTAAAGTTATCTTCTGTGATATCAATAACATTAATGGACAGAAAATTACACCGTAGCTGGTCTTTATCACTTATTGATGAGTTCTTTTCTCCCAACCATTGAGCAAACCATAATAAATCACAAGAACAAAGCCATGGATTAGATGATACGTAGATCTGTGTTGTAGAAGAGAATGGAACTTGTGTTATAGATCTAGGTAAAGAAGTTATATTATTGTTAGTGAGGTCCAGTGTTAGTATATTAGACAATAAGGTTAGCCCTGTGCTAGATATATTACTAATCTCATTATAACTTAGATCTAGCTCAACGATCCTGGGGAAATAATCACGTTTATCAAGTATATTTATCATATTAGAAGTCAAATTTAGGTTCAATTTTCCCCCAGGCAAGTCCAGTGGTAAGGCTGATAAGGTTCTATTGCTGCAAACGATAGAAGTAATATCTGAGATTCTATTATAGTCACATACACACGACACTGGACATTTCCTCACTATCGGACACGAGTCGGTAAGATTTAAAGATACCACAGATTGATTCTGTAGTCTTGTAGGTCTTTGGCATTTCATCAAGTTTGTATCAGAGAAAATCTGCTGTACAGATTGTTGAGTCATCAACTCGTTTGTCGTACAATCGCAAATATATGGATTTTCTGCAGCTCGTATTTTCAGATAACTGGGAGGTTCTGGAAGTCGACCGTCTTGAAATGGTGGATACTCAAGTTGGTTTGATCGCAAATCGACATCAATGACATAATAAGTTGGTGATAAGTGTCTGCTATCAAATATGATTAAATTATTCCCGTTTAATGACAATTCCTTGAGATTTAATAAATTTGAGAAGGCTGCAGTTTCTATAGTTTCAATCTGATTATAGCTTAGATCAAGGTATCTTAGCATGATATTGGAAGGAAAGGAATTTCGTTTAATTTCCTTGATAGAATTATGGCTCACTGTCAAATTAAATAAATTGAATTTTGTAAAATTGGGTAAATGTGATATTTGATTGTATGATAAATCTACCCGTGTCATATCCAGATTACCAATATAGCTAATATCACTAAGTTTATTATTTCCGAAATTATATGTTGGTGATCCAAACCTTGTCGATGAGAAGGAAGGACAGTTAGGAATAGAAGTTAGTGAATTAGAACTTAATTCAACTATACACATTAAACAAATCTTTTTATAAAACAAGTCGCAGGATAAATCGGTAATGTTATTTCCCTCAAGTGTCAATACTAATAAACTTGGCATGAAGGGTAGGTTTGGAATTCTATTTAAATTGCTATATGAGATTTGGAATACAGTTGCCGATTTAAAACCCTGAAATTGAAATTTGTCAACGTCAGCAGGACGCAATGTATCTAACACAAATATCTTAGTTATGGAGTCAGTTGGGAATAAAATAAGACCATCATTAATAATATTACAATTAAACATGCGAACTGCGAATGTTTTCTGAAGAAAATCAGATGAAGTCCACACTATATCAGTATCACCATAACATTTAATATGAATATCATAGGCTGTAGACTGATCGCTTTCTGTTGCCATAGTAATTTCTTCTGTAAAATTTAATGAATCGTTAGTCCAAACACAGTAAATATGGCGTATATCAGCGAATGGTTGGTAAATTCTCGGTAAATTACTGCCTTCTCCACAGGTACACGACTGTGGACAATATAGTTCTTGTTTAGGTACATCTGTAGTTATATTTTGGCCCTCCACGAGTAAAATAAAACCGAGCATCCAAATAACGATATTTTGAGGCATATTCATCATCTTCACCTGAAAAGAACAACAAAATTTTGTAAGAAAACGTCTCTGATATTACTCTTTCCCATGCAAGGAGGGTTTTTGTTACTTTCATGACCAACGGACAAAATTGCTAAGCTATCGGCTGTGACTGTCAGTTAATTTATTGATATTTTGACTGTCAGTTAGTTTATTGATACTGTGACTGTCAGTTAATTTATTGATACTGTGTCTATCAGGTAGTTTATTGATACTGTGATTGTCAGTTAGTTTATTGATACTGTGATTGGCAGTTAATTAATTGATACTGTGATTGTCAGTTAGTTTATTGATACTGTGTCTATCAGGTAGTTTATTGATACTGTGATTGTCAGTTAGTTTATTGATACTGTGATTGTCAGTTAGTTTATTGATACTGTGTCTATCAGGTAGTTTATTGATACTGTGATTGTCAGTTAGTTTATTGTTACTGTGTCTATCAGGTAGTTTATTGATACTGTGATTGTCAGTTAATTTATTGATTTTGTGACTGTCAGTTAGTTTATTGATACTGTGTCTATCAGGTGGTTTATTACTGTGACTGTCAGCTAGTTTATTGATGCTATGATTGTCAGTTACTTTATTGATACTGTGATTGTCAGCTAGTTTATTGATACTGTGATTGTCAGTTAGTTTGTGGATACTGTGACTGTCAGCTAGTTTATTGATACTGCGATTGTCAGTTATTGAAACTGTGATTGTCAGTTAGTTTATTGAAACTGTGATTGTCAGTTAGTGTATTGAAACTGTGATTGTCAGTTAGTTTAATGATATTGTGTCTATCAGTTAGTTTTTTTGATACTGTGACTGTCAGCTAGTTTATTGATACTGTGATTGTCAGTTAGGTTATTGATACTGTGTCTATCAGTTAGTTTATTGATACTGTAATTTTCAGTTAGTTTATTGATACTGTGTCTATCACGTAGTTTATTGACACTGTGACTGTCGGCTAGTTTATTGATACTGTAACTGTCAGTTAGTTTATTGATACTGTGACCGTCAGTTAGTTTATTGATACTGTGACTGTCAGTTAGTTTATTGATGCCGTGACTGTCAGTTAGTTTATTGATACCATGTCTATCAGGTAGTTTATTGATACTGTGACTGTCAGCTAGTTTTTTTATATTGTGTTCATCAGGTAGTCTATTGATACTGTGACTGTTAGTTAATTTATTGATACTGTGATTGTCAGTTAGTTTATCGATACTGTGATTGTCAGTTAGTTTATTGATACTGTAACTGTCAACTAGTTAATTGATACTGTGATTGTCAGTTAGTTAATTGATACTGTAATTTTCAGTTAGTTTAATGATACTGTGTCTATCACGTAGTTTATTGACACTGTGACTGTCGGCTAGTTTATTGATACTGTAACTGTCAGTTAGTTTATTGATACTGTGACTGTCAGTTAGTTTATTGATACTGTGACTGTCAGTTAGTTTATTGATACTGTGATTTAAGTTAGTTTATTGATACTGTGACTGTCAGCTAGTTTATTGATACTGTGTCTATCGGGTAGTTTATTGATACTGTGATTGTCAGTTAGTTTATTGATACTGTGATTGTCAGTAGATACTGTGATTGTCAGTTAGTTTATTGATACTGTGATTGTCAGTTAGTTTATTGATACTGTGATTGTCAGTAGATACTGTGATTGTCAGTTAGTTTACTGATACTGTTTTTTGACTGTCAGCTAGTTTATTGATGCCATGGAGTCCATGACATTCTAGGTAAGCATATTTGATATCTTCTTTTTTTATCAAAACCATAGTTTTAATATAAAATTACTTTAATTCAAAAACTAACAAATCTTAAAAATGAAAAACACAATTAAACGTCTTGCAAATCATTTTTCTCCGCATTCAGCATTGGATTAGGTAAGGAATATATAAGTTTATCAAAGAACAGCTTGTCTTTGGCGTCTATGTAGTATTTTGTACGGATATAAGCTCGTAAATTTTCATCAAGATTCTCGTCATCGACGTCACCAAGTTTAATAACTAATATTTTCGTATTGTCCCCTTGAAGCATAGTTTGATACGCAGTTTGAAATTCAAATGTACACCACTCGCTGTCAACAAAGTGTTCAGAAACCACAAATATAGTGACATTGCTATTATTTATGGCAGATGAGATGTTTTCAGCTATAAGTGTTCCAACTTGAAAATCCCTGTCATGGATACATATTTTGTATGGCATATTGACTTTATTTTCCAATTCATTAACTAGATCAGTAACAAAAGGTCTGTCGTGTTCACTGTAGGATATGAAAGCATCATAAGTCTTCTGGGAAGGATGAAACCTGAAATGTACCGGCAACTTGATCCTTGTATGATATAGAACTCGGATTTCATGACGATATATGAAAGCCGGGATTGATAGAACAACAAGAATTAAAACCAGAGATCCCAAAACAATAGACAGAGCGATATAATTGATATGAGTTAGTATACACCCGAGGTTTTCACTTGTCAACTCAATTAAATTATGAATATTGTTAGAACTATCAACACATTGTATATTACCACCATCGGATATTAAATGACTGTTGGTATGAAACCATTCTCCCATCCACACATTGTCACAGGAACACTTCCACTTATTTCCTGAGAGAACTATTGATGCCGTCTTGTTAAATAAAGTGTCCTCAAAGGATTGAGGGATGGCCGATAACTGATTAAAGCTTAAATCAAGATATACCACGTTCTGTAGAAGTGTCACGGCTCCAGAATTAACGTGTGATATTTCATTATTACTAATATTAAAACCCATTGCTCTGATCAAATAGTCTCTATCATCCAGCATAGAAATGGAATTGAATGAAAGATCTATGTGCAAGTCACCACGGGGCATGAATAGCGGTAACTCAGTTAATAATCCAAATGAACAGTCTACCATTGTTGATTTTGATAAAGCTGTTGATTTAGTACAGGTACAGTTACTTGGGCAGGCATCAATAACCTGACACGTGGAAGATGAATAAAGGTTTACCACGAGTTGATTCTTGGCACTTTCAGGGGAATCACATTGGAAGAGTCCACCATCGACAAATATTTGTGTTATATATTTATAAGATATTAATAAAGGATGAGTTCGCGGAGCTGGTGATTCTTTCTCCAGGGCTCTATCATGGTTAAAACGATCACTGAACCTTCGTATTGAACAGTCACATTGGTATGGATTTTGTGAGGCTTGTGTTCGAACTAACTTGGGTATGGTGTAATTTCCTGACCTGTATGGAGGGTTAATTAGTTTATTAGATTCTATATTCAGATTCACTATAAACATAGAACCGACAGGGGCGTGAATAACATCAAATTGTTTTAATTTATTTCCTTGTAGATTAAGAAACTGTAACCTTTCTAATCCTACAAATGCACTGGCTTCGATCACCTCTACTTCATTGTAGGACAATGATATAGTGCTACATAATTTTGATTTTGAAAACGTTTCACGGCGTATTCTTTTAATCTTATTAAAGGTAAAGTCAATTGTTATTGTCCCAATGAAAGTAAAGTTAGGTAATTCCTCTATAGAGTTATCTTGTGCATCAACATGTATCTGATCCAAACATTGCAAGTTTGAAACATTACTTATTCTGTTGTTATAAAAGTTGATATTATACCATATAATAGACGGCTTACACACACAATCAGGAATATCGACAATTTGATTTCCGAACAGATTCAGGTAGCATTTCTTATCAAGGCAAGGTACGCCTTTGAACAATTCACAATTTATATGAGTTATTTGATTAGTTTTAAGAAAAAGTTTCTGTAGATTACTTCTGTCCATCTTGAGAACGAATTCAGGAATCGCTGGTAATCCACATCTATTTATACTCAGACTAGAGAGGTGAATACTACTATCAATTTCGACATACTTAAAAAATTCCGTATTCACTTTAAAGAATTCCAATGATTGCAAATTTGTGGCATTTATCTGGATAACAGTTTGATCGGTTTCACAGAAACACTCTTCCACTTTCAAAGATTTAAAGGTGTCAACAAATGCTGAGCTGTTCCAAAATATTTTACTGTTTTCTTGACAACGGATGTGAAGATTATCAAATGTTCTACCATTTTTAAGTTTATTGAGGATTTTGATCAGGATGTCAGTCGAGGTATTGTTATTGTTGATATCACATGTTATTTTCGAACTTTGGGTGTTAGAATCACAAACAGGAAGCGCATCAGATTCCTTTCCAAAAGACATCGAAATATTTATCAGCACTTTGATGGTGAGCAAGATAGTGGACCAAATCTCCATCTTGTATTAATCTGGTTTTTTTTTTGCACCTCCACCACAAATTCTTCGTTATATGTTCTAAAAGATGTTTAAGACATCCGTTAAACATAAGAAGTCTCGTTGAGATGAAGAATCTGGACCTCCAACAAATTTAAAACCAATGTTCTATATCAGAATAAAGGATGGAATAGTAAGATCCTACAACCAAATGGCTCAATGTAAAATAAAATATCGCGCTGTCTGACCCTTTTAAGCGATAAGATTAGTTTCAGATGAAATGTGGCCTATTTTGTAACTTTCATGTTTTTTCTGTAATTTGAAAACTATGGGTTTTGTTAAAATACGTTTGTGTTCCTCATGTTGATATGGTTTAGTAAAACGGACGAATTTTAACTTTCTGTGTGACATTGTGTACGTAGTGGTACATAAACTATACAGTATATAAACAGACGATTGCATCAATGTTTGTGGTAAAAGTCCATACTGTAGCGACAATTTGTGACCTACATAAACAGAAGCGATGATAACAATTTATAGTTTTATTCTACTTACCACCATAAATTCTAGTTCTCTAATCTTGTCTTCTGTTCGTCTTCATAATCTTTATTTCGTATATATTCTAAGGTATGACAATTGCGATGACATCATTTTGATTTTAAGTATTATACAAAACCGGAACTATACATCCTTGAGTGGGAAATGCGATGTAAAGATAAGTAAGATAATGGGAGTTGTATAGTTGTATACGAAACCTCTTATATCTGTCATTTAAAATATCAAAGAGTAAGTATTCACTATTAAATTATGAATCATTTTGGATTTTCCAATCAACTCAAATCCCACGCGTTTCCTCTTTACTTAAAAAAAAATTATTTCATAAGATGAAACAGTATTTATCTGTTAAAGGTTATGAGTTAAGTTAATTGTGTGTCATATTTATAATATTTATGCATAAACTGAAAAAGTAAGGATCTAACATACGACCCTGTCTCATGCCTTTTTTCTCTTTATCGTTGCTCATATCATATCATTATATTATGATTTATTAAGTTACTTGGTGTAAAATTGAAATATGGCGAGGAAATACAAACAAGGACAGGCGAAATTTCCTAAGTTTAAATACAACGCACACCACTAAGCTAAAACCACTCTTAAGATTACTTTTCTGTAAAATAGTAAAATTATAAACTTGAGATTTGAAATTCTGAACCAATATAGAACATATAGGAAGGAAATATTATTATATAATTTCCTTTAACTAATACATAAACAAAACACTTGACATGAATTTATATAAAAAATACTTCACTTTTTATCGCTGATTTATTGATAGTCTGGTGGTTGACAGACTTTTATCAAGAATATCTATTGATATGCATCACATTTAAAATAATTCATTGATGCAATATGGAATGAACTGGACAGCAAGTGCTGTTTGCTTACATAAAATAAATTATCCACAAGAAACGCCACCAAAATACAATTCATAGTAAAGTTTCCACATTATTGTCAATCTGCTTGAAAACGGATAAAAAAAAACCTTTCCCAAACAGAGTCTGTCTATTCAAAGTGAACAAATTCATGTGCTATGTCGTGTTTGGCGAAAAATGGAATTTGTGCACAAAATTACCCGTATGAAATGTTAAACGATTCACAGCAATTAACATCCGCGATTAACCAATGCACAGCAGGGAGAGAGCAATCGGTGTGTATCAGATGGGAGCAACACACGAGCACGTGGTTAGAATCGTGAGATGCTGCAAATCGCAATCTAACAATGGTGCTGACAGTCAGGAGTGGCACACACAAGGTCCCAAACAGCGCGGATCACCAGAAACTTTCTGAACACGAACAACGTGGACTTCTTCCTACCGTGGCCAGTGAGATTACCTGATCTGTCTCTGACCATTGACGAGGGTCGCTTTTGCAGTTGCCGTACAAAAGGAATGCAATCTTATTAAAATGAGACCTTTTTTTTTTTAATATAGCCACTTCAGTTAGAGTCTAACGTCTAATGAAAGTTATAAAGACGAGACTGCCATATATAGAAAATGCACCTATAGGAATAAAAAAAAATGAAATGGATGGAGTTTTACGTCCTACTTTTCTGCACCATGCGACCTAATGAAGACGTGCAACGCCATGCAGGGTGCATTGAGGAAAATTTTGCCAGGACAGCGGCATAAGCCTACTCTTTTTCGATTTCCAAATGTCGAGGGGTCTTTAACGTGCACAGTCTGTAACACACGGGGCCTCGGTTTATTGTCCCAACCGAACGACTTTTTTCCATGTCAGCCTCTCTTACCTGCATTACTGACAGGGGGAAACCGGGTTGAAAATCGACTTATATTGGGATTGAACCCTGGATCTATCTTTAGGTCAAGCGTCTAACTCGCTGAGTCACCGCGGCCCCCTCTGTAGCAATAGGAGAAGAAATTCCCAGTTTGAGAAATTTAGAAGGAATCATACGATTTTCGTACATTTCTACAGGACTCCTGAAGACTATTTACTATTTATTCAAGGCTTAAATCAAACGCCTAAAATGGGGTTGTTAGATTGATAAAAAAATAAAGTGGGAGTACAATTGGAGATGCAAACCCTTTCTCTAGAGGGGCAAATCCAATCCCCCCTCCCCCTCCCCCACCCCATTGTACCACCACTGACTATTATCTTTTTAGGTCAAGGCCGATATCGCCTGTTTTATTTTTGTTTATGTTTTGGCTGCCACGAAAGAAGCATTTATTTAATTATAGAGTGGTTGTGATTGGTTGCAGATAAAACACTTGTAATATATCAGAACCTCGACGCACGCTGTGGTATACATAGTGAATAATACTGCAAACTCTTCTACAGTTTTGTCAACGTATTCAAATTTGTAGAGTAGTATAAATTTGTTGTGCACTAGTTAAATATCAGGGTATGATAACATACACCTGTCAAGTAAATTATGATTTATTGCAGTAAATTAAACACAGGTAATAATGACTCTACTGGAACTAAAGTCTATATATGTTACGTGCATATCGCATATTCAAATTCAGTTTAAATGGGATTCAGTGCACTTTACACAACTGTTTAAATAACAGCTTGACATGCCCTTTAACTAGTCTACCTTTTCCGCAATTTGATATGGCTAGGATCAACAAAAATAGTTCATTTAAAGGGTTTGTAGTGGTGTGCTACGGATTTTTATTCGGTCCTTTTTTGAACATTTTTGTTTAAATCAATATTACAGCACTGGTTTTGACCATACACGACTGTAATTACAATATATATTACGTCAAAGTGTGCGGAACTAAACACAGGATATGGAGATCTGATGTAACTACAATCACTTCACGCAGTGCATAAAACATAATAAACTTGAGCGCTCTGAAACTTTAAAACTTGAATATCAAACCCACTGAGCAATGTTTGACCTGTAAATGTATTTACTTAAATTAATTTATGAGAAGAGTAAATAACAATCATCTCTATTGGACATGGATCAAATCCGGATACATTAAGGAACTAATGGGCCTGGTATATTTCTAAGCAACAACCAACATACCTATAACAAGCGACTTACTAATTCATATACTTGACAATGACAATAATTCTTATGTTAATTATATTTTAAATACTTATTATGTACTAAATGACTAACTATACTTCCTACACCCATTGTCTTAACCTTTTACCCTGTATCACAAACAACCCAACCAACAATTAAATACATTCTATTATGACCATGACTCAGTAAAGGAATGATAAAACGTACAGGGAAACAATCCATGGTTTCATAATCCACAAAACCACTGACAATACATGAAATACTTTGTCTGTCCAGCTGAGATATGTATGGATACATTATGACCTTATATAGTCATACTCGTGTGTTAAAATCGAAAAGAGATAGCGAAGTGACTTTTAGCACGTAATGTGGTGTACGTTTGACACAAACATCGACCTAAAACGGTTATCAATAACTTTAAACCTGGGCTATTTACGTCAACTTAATATACAAATTAAGATTGAAACAGTCTCATCCCTAACAACTGTCCATGAAAAAGGCTGTTAGAACATTAAAAGGGCATATTTTAAGTAAAGTTCAACATCATTGAATAACATTAAAACAAACGAAAAGAAATCTTAGTAGATATTGGGAAGAAGGTAATTCACCAAACTCCTGTCAGAAAGTTATGATAAAACTTGACTGAAATGTTAGTCCTTGAATCACGATGCTTCCGTGCTGTCGTAGTTTATTATGTCGATTGGGTAACTATTTAAATAGGCTGTTTGACTGGCTTGGTGTTCCACAGAACTACAATGTGGTTAAGCTGATGTATTTTGGTGCTATTTAACAACTGCAATAGGTTAGTCAGATGATGACGATAGGCCTAAAAAAAACCGCACTCAAAAAGAGACAGATACACTATTTTTGGTATTAGAAATCGTACGATTCCTTCAAAAATACCACGAATTAGGAATTTCTTGTCTTTTTTATGGCAGCCTCAAGAAAAGTCAAGTTGTCATGTTAACTTTCAAACGCGGATAATTATGGACACACACAGGCTCACACTATTTTCTGATTAGCTTACCTAGGAAATTTCCGTTTCTAAGGCTAAGGTAGGATTGTTCAAAACGGATGGCGAACCTGTCCGATATAACTATATCAAAACCTTTAAAAAATGATGTCATTTTTAGCTATTGAATCTTTTAAATTTGTGAAGTGACGATAACTGAATCATATTGAACTAACCGAATAACAAGTTTCACAAGAATGACCAAGTACATTGAGTCTAATTTTAGACCTGTTGACACTAAATTTGACTGTAAATTCATTTGATTTCACCAATGTTCTATTACATATATTATATTTTATATATTTATAAGGCATTAAGCCTGCTTCAACTGTATTCCAAGTATCAGGTGCGATATTTCGCCCCCTTCTGACGTAAACCTAGCTCCGTCACTGCCAAGTATCCAATGTAATGTCAACAGAATTTTTGTTTTGATGAGTACACTGTTTTCTCACTGGTTAGTGGGTACTATCGTGATTCTCTAATAATGTCTGCACGTTTCTTTGAGATCGATCCAAATTGTTTCACAGCAGGAATCGTGATATCTGGGATGAGGCTTATATCTGAAATTCCCTGGTAATAATTGAATCAGATGTATAAATATCTTCAATAGGATTACCGGTATACTTTAAATACATAGAAGGATTGGCTTACTATTTGCCTGACACTACCTACACTATTTTATATTAATATTTAAATTATTTGACTCATCTATTAAGCATTTATTTCTAAAATAGGTCTCAATTGCTGTTAATGTCCATTATCCATTATTAAATGACATGGTTTGAAAGATTTAATTTGTAATGAAAGTAATAAGTATAATATACTATTATATTATTGAATAGTGAAGTGTGACAATAGATAAAAGAGAAAAGGCTATACAATATTATCAATAATGCGGGTTATTCATTTAACTTTTTTTTTTCAAGGAAATGTTTATTAGTTTTGATTATAGTTATATGGGTGTAATTAATGTATGTCAGCCCGTACAACATTACATGGAGTAACCTCGCAATTATTTATAATTTACAAGAGAAAATCAGAAA